ATGCTCTACCACCTTAACTTTGAGATATTTTAACTGCTCTCAGGAATCTTATTATTTGTGATTTCAGAGGCAGTGCCAATTTAGTGGTTTAGATGAGAATACCTTATTAAAACTCAGGAAGAATATTTTTCATGTTACAGTAAAATGCAAGTCATATTACCAGATTAATGTATTTAAAACATGAAGATAGTATAATGAAATGTATATTTCCAAAGAAATGACGGAAAGTGAAATGGTTCTGGAGCCAGAAACATGCTTCTGAAAGAATGAATTTTGAGTCTTCAAATTGTGTATTAAAATATTAGTTCATTTGAAAAACAAAAAACAAAAACAAAAACAAATAAATGGCTGTTTTAAACTCGCAGGTTTCAGGCAACAAGAGGCGATACAACAAGGATGGATTTGACCTAGATCTCACTTATGTTACTGGTTTGTGCACTTCACCTGTTGGCTTACTTCATCCTTTTTAAAAATTTTATTTCTTGCCTATGAAGTCTTATTGTTTAAAAGCATTCTTCATTCTTGAAGACATCTCACTACTAAAGTTCCCCTGCTTCCTTATCCCTGTGTTTTCTTTCTGAGAGTCAGTCAGTTGTTTACATCACCCCTCAACCAGAGGATGTTATACTTCCAGGCTCTGCTAATATGTTGTGACAAAGATGTGCCACCTTGTCTACTTTATGCAACATTAAGCATTATTTAATATTTGACCACTATACACTATCTGCTATTTCAGTAACAAAGAATGCTTAAAATATAAGAACTGTGACAACATCTCTACATGAATTAAATCACCGACATGGCTGTGCATAGATATTATTTCAGCTCCATTGTCTCAAATCAGGGAACCTGCTTGCTTGTACAGCAGGAAGTTGAATGTATATTCAATCGACCCCTTTTGAACTCAGTTTAGAATGGACTGAGTTCTAGCCATTACTGTGGGCCCCAACTGTCCCCAAAAGAGACACTCCTTTTCCTAAGACCCTACAGAATAGGTGTTTAAGATAAGAAATAAATTCCAGCCGGAGGGGCAACTCTAGCCTGAGGCTAACATGGTCCCACTTCATGTGGCTGGAGCCAATGAGAGCTTTGGAGCAGCCTGTGAGTTTAACGGGCATTACACTGGATAACTAATAATAACGATGATGACATATCCCTCTCTTATTAGCACTTAATAATTGATTTGAGTAATAGAGATAATTACTGAATAATCATAGTGATCATCCACTGTCCCTGTTTCCCTGAGGGTTGGCTTTTCTGTCACTGCAACCTTGAAAGTTCTTTTTTGTGGAGAAGAGTCTGTGTGTTCAATTAGATTTTGTATATTGTTGCACAACTAGCACGGCATTTATCGTAGTGATTACTTTGATTTTCAGAACGCATTATTGCGATGTCATTTCCATCCTCTGGCAAACAGTCTTTCTATAGGAATCCCATTAAGGTAAGAGGATTTACCTAAGAAATGTATTATATTTCTAGTGAACATAGACTTTGAAGTAAGCCGTAAGTCTGATATTGACCTTGCGATGGGAATAGTCTCCTGAATGTTACTTTCAGGTAGCAAAATCACAGTGGATTGAAATCAGTTGGTTTCTGCTATGTTACAAAACACCCCAAAACTAATGGCTCATAGCAACAACCTTTTATTTAACCCTTGACACTATTGTTTGTGAATTTGGGTTGGGCTTCACGAGACGTAGCTGGGCTGGACGGGATTCTGCTGGACTTGCTCAAATAGGTGTGGACGGGTTCTATGAGGACAGACTAATTTAAATTGAATTATGGAGGGACCTTGTGGTCTCACCAGCAGCCTAGTCAAGTCTAGTTTACATGACGGGAGGCACAGGGCTCCCTAGAACAGCAAGGAATGGCTACCGGTCCCTTGAAGGCCCAGGCTGATGGTTCATAGAACAAGGCGCCGTTTCATTCTAAGAGGCAAAGCCCATTGTAAAGCCAACCTGAATTCCAAGAAATGGGAACAGGGTGCATCTCTTGATGGGAGAACTCACAAAGAATTGTAATTTTATTTACCTTCGCAGGGAGATAGATTGGGAATGGTATAACTTGGATGTGTGCTCTTAGGTTGAGATCTTAAATGACAGTGGGAGATACTGATTTAAGTCCTGTGGATGACTAAATAAATTAATTTCACATATATCATGGGATTTATTATGAAACTAGCTAAAATTATTAAAGGAGTTTACATACAGATGTGTGTATTCATGAAATTTATAAATTTGCTATGCCTCAGTAAAAATGTCATTGTGTGTGTGTACACACACACAGATACATACAATCTGATTTTTTTTACTCATGGTGATACATGTGACAGAGTGGAAGTGCCTCATAGGATTTTTTGGTTTTGTTTTAATTTCAAAATAAATTTAATCTATCTTGTTGTTATCGTTGACAATATCCACAGCAAGACACACATCACCAATTCAATAGTCTCTACATGTGCAATTCAGTAACACTGATTACATATTTAGAGTTGTACAAAATCGCATCCCTTTCCCCAGTTATTCCTCCCCCATTATTGTAAACTCACGACCCCCCATGGTTCCTAAGTCTCTCGTGCTGCTGTTGGCAATGTGGCCCCCTATGGATAGATCTTAAAAGAACATCATGGTCAAGGCAGCCATCCTTTGCCAGTTAAGCTGCACTGCTGTTTGGTTTTGATGCTTTCCGTAGTTGGCCACTGAATGAGGACGACTGAAGAGAAATCGACGCTTGGGAACGGCGGTGCTGGTGCAGAACAGTGAAAGCACCGTGGACTGACAACGGATCCAAGGCACTGTCTTGGAAGCCGTCCAGCCAAAAGGCTCTTTTGAGGCAAGGAGGGCAGGAGAAGGAGGACGGTCCCCAACAAAACACAGTGGCTGCAGCAACAGGCTCAAACAGAGGAAGACGTGTGGGGATGTCCCAGAGCTGGGCGGCGTGCCTTCTGCTGTGCACAGGGAAGCTGTGAGTCAGAACCGCCGCAATCGCACCCAACAGCAACAGCAGTAGGGTTCGGTTTTTAACACATTAAGAAGAAATATTTTTGGTTTAAGGGTTAAGTATCTCAGGGATATCGTTTCAGGGGTTCCTACAGTTTCCATGGCTCCAGGAAATCCAGAGTGCGTGGGAACTTAAAATTCTGTTCTATATTTTCCTCCCTGTGATTAGTGTTCTTCTATAGGATGCGTGGTCGCGGCGTTCCACGATGGTTTCTGGGCACTCGCCAGGTCTTCTGGTCTCGTGGCCAAGGGGGCAGTTGTTTATGAAGGTAATTTTAGCCACACATTCCAATTCCTCCTCCTCCTTTTGACTCCCTGTTATACCAGGATAATGCAAACCGGTCACTATACCTTAGGTGGCCACTTGAAAGCTTTTAAGAGCCCAGACACTTTGAACTAGAAAATAGAAAGAAGCACTAAGCATGATATTCGATCAGTGAACTAGTCTGTCCGGTGAAGCCATGCCCCTAAACCTACAAACCCAAGAACCAAATTCTTCAAATTCTTCCATCCAACCCCAATGTCAGCACCGTTCTTCAAAGAAATGGGGAAAGTAATCATCAGCTTCATATGGAGAAGAAAACTTAGGATAAACAAAAACTACTGAAAAACAAAGACACGGTAGGAGACTTCTCGCCCCCAGTTTCAAAACATACGATGATGTACAGCCATGGTATAATGATATGTAGACCAATGGATTAGAAGAGAGAATCCAAAAATGCAAGCATGGACCCACAGAGACCAGCCTCTTGACAAAGGACCGAAGCACATGAAGTGAGGAAGAGACACTCTTTTCCACAAACGGCGCTGGAAAAATCGGGTCTCAGCCTGCAAAAGAATGGAACAGAACACACACCTAATATCTCATACAAACATGAACTCCAGATGGATTCAAGACCTCAGTGTAAACCCCAGAACTATACTGATCATTGATGAAAATAACAGACAAATGTAAGGCCCCTGATACAGGGATCAGCACAATACCAAGCATAATGAAAGACACTCATGCAACAAAGGACAAAACCAGAGGACTCAAGACCCCTAAAAATACACTTCTGTGCATGAAAAGCTTTCATCACAAGCGCGAGCTCAGACTGGGACAAAGTGGCAATTATATGTTGGTGAAAGGGCTAGTCTTAATCTTTTCCACAATCTATGGCAAACCGCAATATCTGAATAAGAAAAACACAAGTAATCCAATCAAAAAGGGGCAGAATACATGAATAGACAGTTCACTAAAGATGACATCCCAGGCAGCCAACAAGCCCATGAAGAAATGCTCAGCATCATTAGTTACAAAAGAAATAAAAATGAAGACAACACTGAGATACCACTTTGCACTGACTGACACTTCTAGCAAAGTTAAAAACAAAAACAACAAACCCCTCATGCTGGCGAGGATGTGGCAAGATGGCGATGCAGGCAAGGCGGGTAGGATTGCAGAACTGGACAGCCGCTATGCAAAACAGTGCAACACTTCTTTGAACAAATGCAAGTCGAAACACCATAGCTCTCTACTTGGTATTTGCCCCAAAGAACTAAAGAACAAAATACAAACAGATATGTATACTTAAGCCCTGCTTATTTACAGCACTTTCGGTACTAGCAACAAAGATAGAGATAGCCAAAAAACCCACTGGTGGAGGAATGGGTGGATACACGAAAAAACATGGACTATCATGCATCTCTAAAAAACAAGAACAAAACTGTCAACCACCTCACAATATTGATGACCGTGGAAGACATTGTACTCAGGAATGTTAGTCGGATCCCTAAAGATAAATACTTCATCACCATCATTCTAAAGAAAAAAAATGAGGAAAAATGGTTTTCACACCCAAAGAAGCTGACTTTGAAGGCTATTGGTGGGAGGGTTGGAGGTGAGAAAGACCCAGGATGGGAAATAAAATTCCAAAAATATGAAAGACAATGTACACTGTCGTTGGGTTGAGATGGTCGAGCAGCTTTGTTTTGTATGTTTCTCTTTGTGTTATACTCCATAAGTCAAAGGGACGGGGGTGTCACGGGGGAAGGGGATGGGGGGGGGGCAGGAGGAAGAAAACAGAAAACACAGCTTTGTAAACCCTCCAGATCCCTTCCCCTTCCGATCTAAACAATGATCTGAATGAGAAGACCAGAAGGACAAGTCAAACCAACTTGTTATTTCAAACAAACAAAATGCTGTTCTTTCAAACAAGCAAGCAAGCAAACAAGCAAACAAACAATCCCATGAAGCATTTGGTTGTACAAAGTGGCCTCATCAGATCATCTTTCCTGTTATTGTTGTAACTATGTCTGTCACGTAACTTGCCAATTCAACTTTTTACAGGTATGCAACTTCTTGACGACACTTATAATAACTGGCTGCGCAGTCCTGCCTCAATCAATGTAACATTTCCATCACTGGAGCGCATAAGTTGATGCTTCCTAAGCAACAGCGGCTTCCCCCCTCCCTCCTCCTACTGATAGCTGCTAATAAACTTTGGTCTCTCTACGTTTTTATAAGTGAGATCATACAAAATTTTCATATCTTCATGCTCCGTGCATTTACATAGCATATATCAAGACTAAAAACTCTTTGGAACATAGAAATTGGTGTTGCTGGTGGGGCCATTCAGTTTGTACCACAGAGAAGCCCCTGCCTCATTCTGCACCACCCTCACGATTGTTGTGCCTGGGTCCCCTGCGGCAGCCTGGGTGCTGATTCTTCTCATGGAGGGTCTTCCTCTTTTTGACGGACCTTCTGATGTCCCAAGTACAATGTCCTTTTCCAGGGCCTGGTCCCTCCGATCCCATGTCCAAAGTCCATGAGACGAAGCGTAGCCATCCTTGCTTCTACGATGCATTCTTGCTGTCTTTCCAAGGCAGTTTCTTTGTGTGTGTGTGTGTGTGTGTGTGTGTGTGTGTGTGTGTGTGTGTGTGTTCTTCCGGCAGTTCATGGTATTTTCAATACTCTTCACCCACACCTTCATTCAAATGCACCTATTCTTCTGCAGTACACCTTATTCATTGTCCAACTTTCACATGCATATGAAGTGACGGAAAATACCCTATTTCGTGCTTCAATTCCACTTCCTCCCAGTTCATGACGTAGAGCTTGAGCTCAGAAACGTGCGAGCTGCCTTCCAAACCACAGTCATGGGCCTGGAATAGGGATAGTGTAAGGGTCCCAATATAACGACCAAATTGCGGTCCAAGAGATTTTATCCGCAGTGATAAAGGGCTTTATTTTTATGCCATATTTGCTAGCATTTGATTTTCACATTAAAAAGGAAAGGGATACTATCCTGGGTAAAATGACATTTCATTGTTATTTTTCTTTCTTTTTTTGGTGAGACTCTATATATAGGATGGTAGCTAATTGGATTTTCTTTTTTGTGAACTTTTTATGTCCTTGGCCCATTTATCTGTAGCATGAAGGGGAATATCTTAAGTTGTCATGAGTTGTTAATTTATGATCCTAGGCATGTTTTCTATGCATTCATTGAAGAATAATTTCAGATGACAGCAAAGTGAAGACAGAATGTGTACAGAATGTTACATTTCTTGTACAAAATTGTTTATTTGCCTTTTCTTTGTTTGTAACTTGTCTGTAAAAGGTTTCCCCCGACTGTCAAAAGAATAGGCATAGTAATTAGGACTTCCTTCCTCCGTGCTCTCTTCCCTTATCTTATGGTCATTGTCCTGAAAGCTTATTTTAGAAAATTGATCAAGTAACATTGCATGTGGCTTACTCTGGACATATCTAAGCCCTTCTGCACCTCTAAACGTAGATGGAGTTGCTCAGAGGAGGGAACAGCTGGTCAGCATGTGGTGGCTGCATGTGGAGATGTACCTCTGCGTGGACTGTCAACCACATGTACTTAAAAGTCGCACGATTGCAAAACGGGTGTGTGATCCAGGTACTCGGATGCTATATTTTTTGGTACTGCTGGTCCTGTACCAGAAACATTTTCTTTTATGGTTACTTGCTTTTTAAACTTTTGTTTAGCCACTTAAAATCTGCTTATCGCACAGTTTGCCTCAAATCCATTCCAAGTTGTATATTCGTTTTCCAATAAAAAATACAATTAAAAAACAAAATAAATAATTTAATTGGGGGCTCTTACAGTTCGTATAACAGTCCATACAATATGCATTCATTTTTGTGGAAAAATCCTCTCACATGTTTGCTGTTGCTTGTTTGTGGTAACCAAGGGTGGCAATCTTTTAAATAGAAATGTAAAATTTTTATGTCTCACTGCCATCGAGCCAATCCAATTCCTAGTGACCTTATAGGACAGGGTTGAGCCGCCCCTGTGAGTTTCCAAGGCTGTAACTTTATGAGGACAGAAAGCCTCATCTTTCTCCCACAGAGCCACTGGTGGTTTCAAACTGCTAACCTTGCAGATCGCAGCCCAGTGCATCACCACTGCACCAACTGTAGCCAAACCCAAATGTATCAATCATCCACTGATTTGCCACTTAGTTCTTTCTGATGCAAAGAACGGATCGATGTTCAGTTCAACTTCTGAGCGATGGTGGTGGTTTGCCCCGTAGTTGGTAGTCCATCTGGGTTTATTTTGGTGTAAGAACCCTTACGGATGTGTAATGGTACAAAGCTCTTTACGCCTCCCCTTGTCCCAGAGCGTTCACTTCTTTAGCCTTTTACTTCCTAATGACGAGACCCGGTTTAACACATTGACCACCCGATACCTTGATTTTCCTTTTACTGCAATAAGCAGTAGGCATTGCTGCCATTTGTTTGTTTGTTTTTTGAAATCATTTTATGTTGGGGGCTCTTACAGCTCTTATAACAATCCACACATTAATTGTATCAAGCATAGTTGTACATATGTTGCCATCATCATCTTCAAACTATTTTCTTTCTACTTGAGCCCTTGGTATCAGCTCCTCTGTTATCCCTCCCTTCCTCCCCAACCCTCCTACCCTTGTGAACCCTTGATAAGTTATGAATCATTCTTTTCATATCTCACACCATCCTCTGTCTCCCTTCACCCACAGTTCTGTTGTTTGTCCCCCTCAGGGTGGGCGTGGGGTTATACATCAACCATTGCATTCATTTTCTCCCTTTCTCCCCCCCACCTTTCCTCTCCCCTCATGGTATCGCTACGCTCATTATTGGTCCTGCGGGTTTTATCTGTGATTCTGTGTGTTGAGTGCTCTTATCTGTACCAGTGTACATGCTCTGGTGTAGCTGACTTTGTAAGGTAGAACTGGGGTCATGATAGTGGTGGGGAGGCGGGGAGGAAGCATTAAAGAGCTAGAGGAATGTTGTGTGTTTTGTCGGTGCTATACTGCACCCGAGCTGGCTCGTCCCTTCCTTGTGACCCTTCTGTGAGGGGAAGTCCAATTGTATACAGATGGACATTGGGTCTCCACCCCGACCCACCTCGTTCACATAGATATTATTGTTTGGGGTTTTCTGATGCCTGATACAAGCTGGTGTGCTTCTTCCATGAGGGCTATGTTGCTTCCCTGCTAGATGCCCCCTTGTTTAACATCAAACCTTTCAGACCCCAGATGCTATATCTTGTAATAGCCAGACACCACCAGTGCTGGTTCCAGGGGGACATGGGAGAGGAGGGGGGTGGGGGAAAGGGAGGGGACAACCAACAAACGCTGGGACAAGGGAGCAACAAGAGATCTAAAATCAATTATGAGGAGGGTGTGGAACGCCTGGTGGGGTTTGATCAAGTGCAACGTAGCTGAGAAGAAGTACGGAGAGCCAAATGTAGATCGAACATGATAGTGAGACAGGAAAAATGTAAAAGGAAACAGAGGAAAGAACTAGGAGTCAAAAGACATTTATAGAAGTACCAATACAGGCATGTACACATATAAATATATTAATATATAATGATAGGGATATAGATCGCTATACATATATTTATATGTCAAGTATTAAAGTAGCAGATGGACATTGGGCCTCTACTCAAATCCTCCTTCAAAGCGAGAACACGTTGTTCTAATAGCCCAGCCTTCTGTGATGCTCATCTTCCCGACACGATCGCTGAAGACAAAACGGGTGCATAAGCGAGTGTGGTGGACACAGCTGCCGTGCTATTGCTGGGTGCTGCTGAGCTGATTGTGACTCACCATCCCCTCTACACAACAAAACACAAGCCCTCCTCATCCTGGTCGTGAAGCTGGAAACCATTGCAGGGAAATGTCCAATTCATCTCCTTGAGGATCTTTCTCGTCTTCACCACCTACTTTACTGAGATGATGTCTTTCTCCAGGGACTGGTCCCTCCTGATAATTCCTCCAAAGCAAGTGAGACCAAGTCTCGCCATCCCTGCTTCTCAGGAACATTCTGGCTGCACGTCCTCCAAGGCAGCTCTGTCCACTCCTCTGCCAGTCTGTGGCAGATTCAATATGCTTTGCTAACACCATACTTCAAGGGCAATCAATTCTTCTGCAGTCATCCTTATTCACTGGGCAGCTTTTGCATACCACGAGGTGCTCTGGGAATCAAGCTTAGAGCTGTGTGACAGTCCTTTTTGGCTTTGCACACAGACGTGTGTGTGGTTGTTTTGAATGTATGAGTTGGCTGAAAATATTGTTGAATTATATAATATTAACTATTTAAAACAATAAACCCTGATTTCCCCCCCTTATTTCTAAAGCTATATATGTATGTGTAATTATTTTTTTAAATATATGTAAAATATATGTAATATACCACACACCTTCATTTTAGAAGATAAGAAAGCACAGTTGAGCCAAAAAAATTAAGTTCTCTATTTTGACACCACATATTTAAAAATTGATATACTTTGCTTACCTTTCAAAATTGTATGCATGCACACACAATCCTGTATTTTGTGTGCTTATTTAAACAGTGCTTAAGTAGACTGTCATATCCAGATAATTATCTAAAAGACATAGCTATTCAGAATTAAATCTAAACAAGACTCATGTGACTGAATTCATCAGGTGAAACAAACTTGCTTAAAGCCAATCAACAATCTAATTTCCATGTCTGGTAGCTTTTCCAGTATGAATGTAGGATGGAGGCTAATCGGGGTAGTCTGAATTCCAGTATGAATGTAGGATGGAGGCTAATCGGTGTTTGAGAAGCTGTCCGTGGGTTAGAATTTGCCTGGGAATATCCATACTCTCATAGTCCTTGGATCATCCCTAGACGGTGCTGAGCAAGAGACCACTGAGTTAAAGACATTCGCCATGTTAAGGTTACTTCTAGGAAATAATTGAGCCTGGTGTCATGTAGCTATGTAACATTCCTATCTCTTTTAGGAAGTTGTACGATTCCTGGATACCAAACATCTAGACCATTACATGATCTACAATCTGTGCAGTATGTACCTAACTAGATATTTCACTACTCAAGATAGAAAACAGATCTCGGCATATATGAGTACGATTCTGTTTTTACATTTCCTTTAATTCTAAGTGTTTGGTGGTAAATGGAGCATGAGTTCAAAGATCCTCATCTGGGAGCCTCAAGGGAGCCTGCTAACAGTCAGTCCTGATCTAACAGGCTGGAGTGGAGATGAAATAATTGTAGAAAAGTTTAGGGGTATTAGGCTTAGAAAAATTTCAGATTTTCCTGATGGATGGTGGTGCCAGGAAACAGAGCCCACGGTACAAATGTATTCTCTGACCAATCAGGTTGTTAACAGAACAGGGCCTTCCATGGGAAAACACCCTACCTTGTGTTTTCTAAACAGCTTGTGTCTTGCTCTCCCTTTCCCTCTCCCTTGCCTCTCCTCCTCTTTCTCCCTCTCCCTCTCCCAAGAAATACTACAAATAGATCATTTTAGAGGGTGGAGAAGAATTTGGGCCAGCCACATTTGCTTCTGCTCCATAGTTCCCAAGAATCCTACAGCAATCTACTGAGTAGTCTTCTAGGGCCTGGTAAAGAAAGGCAAATCAACTGAGCCTGTAAGTTTAAGATGAGCAGATATGGATAAGACGGACCTATTTGCAAGACCCTCGCTGTCCTTTCAGGGTAGGAAGGACCCTCAGAAAGCTTCTCTGATCAGTGGATAAGGAGTTCCTATAACTTGTTCGTGACTGGACCATTCCCCACTTGTATGGAGCCCAGGGATCAAGCCTAGGTATCATTTATTTTAGGTGAAAGAGGTTATGACCCTAAGCACTTCCATAACAGGGTACGCAGGATCATGATTGACGACCACAATGTGCCTCCTCTCAGGTGAGTTCTTGGCTAAGCTGATTGAGCGGAGGGTTGAGTACATTGGGCCTTGCTTCCCCACCCTCCCCAAACTAACACTCTTAACATTTGCCATCAGTGAGATGGTGAAGTTCACCCAGGAAGTTACCCAATGGCTGGCTGAAGATGAAGACAACGTTGTCGTGATCCACTGTAAGGGAGGGAAAGGTAATCACAGTTTTCTTTTTATGTTTCCTAAAGAAAGTTGGAAAAGATGCCTTAAAGGACACGAATCATCTACATCTCACTAGTCATCAGTCTTCTGGACGCTTTTATTTTTGTGTTTTAGACACCAAAGTTTAAGTGGTGGTTCCCAGGGGCAAGCGGCAGGAGGGAAAGGGACTTGTCATGTAGAAAGCAGTGAAGGGGAATTTAGCAAGGATTATGAGTGAGGGTTATACAGCATGAGTAATGTCCCGTAAATGGATGTCACTCAAAATACACCTAAAACTGTTGAATGGTAAAGTCTATTGCTAAAGTAAAGAGTAGAGAAAAGCCGCTCTGAAAACATCTCAATTTATGACCCGTGACTGGTGGCACTTAGATAGTAGCGTCCAGATTGAGCGGAGGGAGGGTGAGAAGGAGGAAGGTGGGAGAGGGGGAGGAACATGTGGGGGAAAGAACAGAAGGAACCTTTTCTTCATGTTTTTCGTTGCCGGCGGATATATGTCAAAAAGGAAAGCATGTCTCGCTCTAGAAGCTTCCAGGGCGCTTTTTGTTTTATTTCAGGTGGTTCTTAAGCGTCATGAGTGCATTCTAAGGTTTTGTTTGAACCAATAAACATTGTACTAGAATTTGTAGTGGCGCAATACAAATAAGTTGATTTGGATAAAGGTGAAGTGAGAAGAAAAATTCGTTTATAACTTGTTAGCCTAATTTGAATTCATTTACATTTTCTCTCATTCAAGCATCAGGCTTTTAGCAGTCAACCAAACACTGATCACTTTTTGACAAATAACATGTTGGCGACTCTAAAACAAGTTTTATATTGATTTATGGGATGAGACAACCCGGTCAAACTGCCTTCCGTAATTGAGTAGAATCAAGCTCTCCAGTCTTCCTTAAGAACTAGTTTCAAGTCTGCTAGTTTGTAGGCAAAGAAGGTCCGGTGACATTGTTGGGTACACGTTAGACTGTGTGTTCAGCCGGTTGACGAGAGAAACAAACCCGGTGACGTTCATAGATATGTAAGAAAGAGCTCTCGGTCAAGAAGGAATTGCATTTCAAGAAGGCATCCCGGCCCAGTCCAACTCAAGTCCATAAGCCCCTCTGCACACTCACACAGTCGCGTGCAGTGATGAAGAGTGTAGGAAGATCACAGGCCCGTGGGTGCAGAGTCGCATGGGTCCAAGGTCAATGGAAACAAGCCAGGGCTGCAGCAGCTCTCAGGGCGGCCAGCAAGCAGGAAGGTGAGGGAGGAGAGGTCCCAATAGGCAGGAAGGTAAGGGGTGAGAAAGAGTCTTCCTCATGAGAAGGCCATGCTCCCAATGGGGCAGCATCAGACTGACCCGACTGACAGGTCTGACTCCACCCATAGCCAGAAGTGTCCAGTTGACACAGATGTAGCCACCACACGCGGTTAATGGCCAAGTCAGTGATTCAAGCCCACCGTATGCTCTTAGAGAGAAAGGTGAGGTTGCCTGCTCCCCGAATGACTTACCGTCTCAGAAGTCCCATATAGGGTCCCTGGGCCATCCACTCACTGGCAGTGGGTTGGGTTTGGGCAATGGAACCAAAATGGTGGCTGAACAAAGCGCAGACCCACTGGTAGCGCAGTGGATTAGGCATTGGGCTGCCAACCTAGAGATTGGTGGTTTGAACCTACTGGCTGCTCTCTGTCTGTCCCTCCCCTACGTGTGGCTGCTGTTAAGTACCACTGAATTAGTTCCAACTCACAATGCCCCTACATACAACAGAATGAAATGAAACACCGCCCTGTCCTGTATCATCCTCATAATTTTTGTGACATTTGAGCCTATTGTTGAAGCCACTGTGTCAGTCTATCTTGTGATAGTTAGGGGTTTGTTTGTTGTTTTGTTTTTGTTTTTACCAACATGGCACCCGTAAGAAGATATGAGTGGAGTTTAGCCTGTCAATTAGGTTGCAGCCCAGACAGATAGCTCTCTGGAGACCAGCCTCTCTCTCTCTCACTCTCACTCTCACTCTCTGCCTTGACCTTCCTGCTTGCTGGCCACCTGACAGCTGCTGGAACCCTGCCATGCTTCCACCGAGCCCCAGATCCACATGACTTTACACATGACTTTACCAGGCTGTGATGTTCCTACATTCTGCATCACTGCATGTGACTGTGTGAGTCTGAAGAGGGACTTATAGACTTGAGTTGGACTGGGCTGGGATGTTTCTTGATAGATAATAATTCCTTCCTGATATAAAGCTCTTGCACAGCTATATGAGTGTCACCAGATTTGTGTCTCTAGTCAACCTGGCCGAACTTGTCAAGGATCTTCCTCTTTTTGGCTGCCTCTCCACTTTAGCATGATGTCCTTTTCTGGGGATTGGTCTCTCCTGAAAATTTGTCCCTACTTGGTAACCTATAAAGTCTGTTTCCTTTTGTCTTGATCGTTTGTTCTTTCTAACAGTGGTCTCATAAAATATTTGTCCTTTTGTGATGGATGGATTTCAATCAGCAACAGTGTTCTCCTGGTCAATCCATGCCATGAGGTGCTTCTCGTGTTGTCAGTGATAACCTAGCATCCTCCTGTGTGTATGTACCAAAGTTTGTCCATTCTTCCAGTGATGGCCATTTAGGCTGACTCCATCTTCTTGCTCCTGTGAATAGTGCTGTGAACACGTACATATGTCTGCTTGTGTCTAAACAACATTGTTATCATTCCTATAGCTTTGTATTATGTTTTGGTAATTTCAGAGTGGTCGTGGATCTTCTTGGAAATTTATTCTCCTAGACAGTTTTAGAATCATCTTCTTAGGTTGGATCATAAGATGTTGAGGATTTTTTTTATCATTTTATTAGGGGCTCATACAACTCTGATCACAATCTATACACACATCAACTGTGTAAAGCACACTTGTACACTCATTGCCCTCACCATTCTCAAAACATTTGCTCTCCACTTAAACCCCTGGCATCAGCTCCTAATTCTCCCCCTCCCTCCCCGCTCTCCCCTCCCTCATGAGCCCTTCATAATTTATAAATTATTATTTTGTCATATCTTGCCCTGTCCGACGTCTCCCATCACCCACTTTTCTGTTGTCCGTCCCCCAGGGAGGAGGTCACATGTAGATCCTTGTCATCGGTTCCACCTTTCCAACCTACCCTCCCTCTACCCTCCCAGTATTGCCACTCACACCACTGGTCCTGAAGGGATCATCTGCCCTGGATTCCCTGTGTTTCCAGTTCCTGTTTGTACCAGTGTGATGTTGAGGATTTTTATCGGAACTGCATTGAATGTGTAAACTCACTCGACAAGAATTGACAACTTTGTAGTAGTAAGCTGTACATGGACGGTCTTTATCTGTATTTGAATCCTCTTATTTGCCCTTCACTAACACGTATGCTTTTCTTCATAAAGGCCACACCATCTTTTTTAAAATCCACACCGATATATTGCTAATGCAAGTGGAATCCCTTTTTAAATTGTAGTACTTCTGTTTCCAGTGTTTGCTATTATAAATAATACTGCTGGGAAATACATATTTCTTATTTATTTTCCCTCATTTCTGTTGTGTAGATCTTGGACTATAATTGCTATGTATTATGATAATGGCCTTTAAGTTTTAATAGATAAGGCCATCTATTTAAAAAAATTGGACCATTGGTGTTGTATGAAATTTCCAAGATTAAACAAAAGATTAGCAGAAGTGTGGGATTACATCAATCTTCTTCCTTGTATCCAGTGGTTGTGTGTTTAGAGGTAGCTTGTGATTTTTAAAAACAGTACCATTGGCCATGATTCATTGAACTAACTTATTTTCTTTTCTAGGGAGAACTGGAACTATGGTTTGTGCCTGCCTTATTGCTTGTGAAATATTTACAACCGCAGAGGTATAACAGTTGTTACGATAAGCTCTGTTTTATGCTGATGCACTAGGTTAGTTCTGAATGTCACCAAAAAAAAAGTAGAGTTGCTTCTTTGAATCGTGGAACTTACGTGAAAATTGTAACTGGAAGGGACAATGATGTTTTTGATACTCGTTTAGCTTGCACTGGTGGAGTGGTTACACATTGAGCTGCCAACCTCAAGGTCATCGGTTTGAAACCACCAGCTGCTCCACGGAAGAAAGATGGGGCTTTCTAGGGCCTCCAAGAGTTACGGTCTCAGAAACCCACAGGGGCAGTGCTAGCCTGCGCTACAGGGTTGCTATGAATCAGAAGGAAGTCAATGTCGGCGGCGAGTTGGTTTTTTTGAGTTAGCAGGTAGCCTAGATTTCTAGGTGAGGTGAAGAAAACCTCTGCTTCAGGCATAAAATTGAAAAGGGTGTCCCAAATCTCAGTCATCAGGATAAATGATATTTTAATCCAATATTAAAAAAATGATCATGAATGCAAAAATCCATCATGAATATCATGTCAACATTTTCAATAAAAACCAGATCTGGCAGAGCTAGAATTAGAGGGAGGCCAGAAAGATGTTTACTTGTGCAAAAAAAAAAAAAAGCTCAGTGATCCAAATGCTTCCCTCGCTCCCCTGGTCACGGCAGGAAGAGGGTCAAGAGCCCTGCGTTCACAGGGGCAGAAGGCCCACTCTGTCGCCTCAGAGATGCCCAGAGGTCTCAGGCCTACTTATTTCGATGATGCGATGATCCTAACATTCAGGAGAGGCTTTGTTCAGGGTGAGAAAAATGATGCTTTTTTTTTTTTTGCTTACCTAGAATTTCGAAGGCTATTTAAGGAGAATCTATCTAACGAATCTTGATATTATCCCAAGGACACAGAATGGGTGGTTTCCACCTTTGAGATCAGGCCCTTAGGAAGCCCATCCCCCCACCCCACCCCACACCCCAACTCCCCTCCCGGACTCTCTCGGCAGTTGTGTTTGTCGATGGGACGGAGTCTAGACCAGTGCCGCCATGGGGCAGGCCCAAGGCCCAGTTGAGACACACATATTTTGAAAAGGGAGGGGGGGCTCCAGGATGGTGCTTAACAAACTATGACTCATGATCTCCCTGTGAATCACAAACCCCATTTATTGGATGTAACCATCCATTTTAAAAAAATTGAGTAAGTTAGGCTAGAAAAATATCCAAAGGTAAGTATGGTTTTCTGAAACGTTTGGTTCCCGTGTGTGTGTGTGTGTGTGTGTGTGTGTGTACTAGATTGATTGATGTGCGTGTGCATTTCCCAGTGCTTGAAAGACACTGATCTAGAGCCCCAGACTCACAGCCAGAAGGCCCGGGTGCCAGCGCCTCGTCTGTGACTCCCTGATAGGCCGGTTGGCTTTCTTTGGGTTTAGCCTTCTCATCCGTAGAAAGGCCGGGCCAGATAGGCCTGCAGGTTTGCCGGCTCTGCAGTCCATAGCTTTATGAAGCTGTGAACGAGAGCAGGCTGTACCGTGGATTTGCTCCTTTAGTTATCTGGGGGAGCCTTTGCCCAAAGACCATGGACTTAGGAAAAACGCGTGCCCTAACCAACTTTCAGTGGGTCTTACACAGGAAACGGAAGAGAGCAGAGGAGCCTTGTTTGAATCCCCTCCCTTTTCTGTAGGAAAGCCTTTATTTTTTTGGAGAACGTCGAACGGATAAAACCACCAGCTCTAAGTTTCAGGGAGTAGAAACACCTTCCCAGGTAAGTATTTTTTAGGAAGCGCGGGACCTGGTTCTTTGAGGGAGTGGGCTCAGGGTGGCACGGATGACCTTATCTCACTTGCGGACCAGACAGCAGCATCTGGGTGTCCTGTGAGAGGCCGAGCAGCCTTATCTGCCCGGAGCCTAGAGCTTACACCTTGGTGTCAGGCCCGTGTCTGGAGAAGGCTGACTTCTCCCCACCACCTCTTGCACCCCAATTTCTCTGGGTGATTATGGACAGTGCCCCTGAGCTAATGATCTTCCTGAAGCTGGAAGGCCAAAGCCCTCAGGTTCCAGAAGATGATCTAAAGTTAACAACCTTGTATTTCCTGCTGAGAGGAACTCAATCTCCCACATATTCCCACCGGGTCCATTCAAGCCGTGCAGACATGTGAAAGGAAAGAGGAGATTACATCTTCCAAGAACCAGACACCGTTGCACTTGTTCATATTCGAAGGGGCTTCTAGAAATGTTCGGGAAATTCCATCATCTTTTCATCCCAATGTGAAATACCTTCTTTTTTTTAAATCGTTTTATTAGGGGCTCATACAACTCTTATCACAATCCATACATACATCATTTGTGTAAAACACATTTGTACATTCATTGCCCTCATCATTCTCAAAACACATGCTCTCCACTTAAGCCCCCGGCGTGAAATACCTTCTTAAAAGATGTTTTATCATGGAGATTTTCAAGCAGAGTAAAGTCAAGCGGATCTTGTCATCAGCCCTTGTACACTCACCGGGCAGCCTCCACGGTCATTTCACCCCATCCCCACCTCCTCTCTCCACCACCACCACCCTGCCCCAGCCCCGAAATCGGAATTCTTCTGAGACAAATCTTAGTTATCATATCATTTTACACCCCATGCAGCTCAGCACGACGTCTAAGGTAAAGACTCCTAAAAGCAAAGCCTTAAGACCACATATTACACCTAAACATAGTATACCTAATAACATCTTCATATCTAATGTCCAGTTCGTGTTTATATTTCCATAATTATCTTCAAACAGATTTTATATTTATCTATTTTTTTCAAAGATCATTTTACTGCGGGGCCTTTTACAGCCCTTATAACATTCCATACATCGATTGTATCAAGCACATTTGTACATATGTTGCCATCATTATGTCTAAAACATTT